CCTCCAAGAACAAAGCTTTATATTCCTGGAATCAGAATTAAATGAAAGGAAGGACTTAATTTAAACAAGATTGGCCAAAACATCCAGAGGTTCTGCCTACACATCTCAAGGTGATAGTCCATGCTGAAGACTTGTGTGTATGCATCTAGAGTGCTTCAGCACCAATAGAGAGCTCCAGGAATCTATAGTTGTCTTACTTGCTGACCAGCCACAGACCCCACTTGGACAGGCCTGAGATGTACTTTCTCACCTTCTACCTAAGCTCCACACATTACACAAAGGATTTTAGCTGTAAGCCTCTTGGCACGCTTTGAGCAGCTATATATAACCGTTATCTGGTGGTCAATGCTGAACAACTTGATGTTCATTAATTGTGCTCTCCCCTTCCCCCCAGCCCACTAAGAATTCTTTCCCCTATAGAGAAACCTCTGCAGTCTGTGGGCGTAAAGCAAGGAAGGTAATGGACATCCTGAAATCCATGAGACCAGGCGGGCTGCATCCAAGAGCGTTGAGGAAGCTGACTGATGTGATTCAGGGACTACCAGCTTTGAAAAGTCTTTGAGATAGAGGGAGGTTCCTGACAACTGGCAGACAAGTGTCATCCCGTCTCAAAGGAGGACCTGGAGATCTACAGACTTGTCAGACCAACCTCAGTACCTGCAAAGGTTATGGAGGAAATACATATAGAAACTCACAGTACTGAAAGTCAGCAACGTGAACAGTTTCTCTGCATCATAGTAGAAGATGGTAACTGTCCATAAAGTATGTGGATAAATCAAGCATGCACTGTTCTAAAAGGTGAAGTTAAGACAAACTGATTAAGATTTGCACAACAATAGCAAATAGATCAACTGCAATTCAAGATTGTTAGTGGAAAAAAAACCCAAAATATTGCTAGACACTGTGCAGTGGGTAAGCTAACTTGCTAGACAACTCTTTATTGCAAGCATCATCATGATTCACAGACTTGAAGTTCCAGCTTGTGATAAATATCCTTAAGACAATATTTATTGTAATTTTAATGAAGTTGCACTTTTCCAAGTCTTTTAAATGTATAGTTTGCCTCTTTAAAAACATACCCTTTGTATGCAACTAGCATTAAGAAATGTACGTAGCATTCAAACTCAGTACTTCTGTGCTGAAGTGCATCAAAAGCCAGTAACCCCACTATCTGTTTCCCAACCAGAATTTCACCGAGCAATTAATCTGGGCTGCGGTTTCACAACTGCTAGCAGAAGGGCAGGTCCTGCTGCTCTTTTTCATCTATCTCATTTTTGCCCCTCCCTTGAGCAGGCACTAAAACTGACTGGACTGAAAAACGTATTTTCTTTTGCTCACGACAGTTTTTGGTGAAGTGAATGACCAAAAGTGATTCACTCAAAACTCACATTTAAGGCATAGTCAGCACTGTATCACTAGAGTAACTGATGTCTGCTACATTTTTACCCTCCTTTTCCCCCATTCCTATGCTCTTCCTGAACCTGTTCCTGCACAATAAACCAGCAAGGTTAAACGTCTGGCAAGAAAGTAGTCATTTCTTCCACTTCAGTTAGCAGGCTGAATTGGCTCCTCATGCCATCAAACAGCAGAGGGAGCAAAGGAGGAGCAGTGGAAGTGCATGACCAGGGAAAGACCACCAGGCACCAGCTCAGTAAGTAGCTCAATAGAGTGGCGCCTTCTTATTGCATCACTGAACCTTCAGATCCTTTTAAAGGCAATAATACGCTGCAGCCTTAGGTTCTTGGGTGGCAATATTTCAAAACTACTATATATACACCTGATCTTATTCATTTTTAATCGCCACGGGCATTTCTGAAATAACTTGACAGCTGCCTTTACCAGACACCATCTCATGCAGCCATATAAAATCTCAAGTGCTTTAATTGTAAATCCCCGATACGTGCTAAAGGCTGAAAGCCATTTTAATGAAGGCTGGTGTTCTTCTCCGTCTATAGCAAGGATGCAGACTTAACCACTCAGATGCTGACAGTTTATAAATGCCTTCCCACAACTCCCTCATGTGTTCAGAAAAGAATTTCTTATGTGCACAGCAGGAAATAGACTGTTCAATATCCAGCAGCACAAGGCACTGAAACACAAAAGCTCAAATGTCCTAAAACATAGAGGAGCGTATCGTATCAGATATCTTTCAAATATATTTGCAATCATACTCAGCATCTGACCAGCCAGGCCAGAGCATGGCCACTCTTGCCTTCTGGGGTCTCATTCTCTCTTTTCTTTTTCTTCACATTTCCTAGCACCATTTCCACACTTCTAAAAATCACCCTCAGACAGGTTTTATCAGTCATTTTCATTCCTTAAAGAGCATCATTATTTACAATTATGTACTGTTTAATACACTTGCATGCATTTTTGTTGCGTTCAATGAAACAGTCACAAAGGACATTGCCCCCAACTAAGAACTTGTTCATACCTGTCAAAATTACAGATCATAGCCAGAGAACAGATCTCTGAACACACAGTCTGAGAGCGTCAAAGAAGAACAGAGATTCACTTCATGTATTGTTTTACGCAAGCCTAAAATTTCCAAGCACTATGTACTAGAAGCATAAGATATATGCATCTATTTAAGATAAATTCTACCTTTCTCCTATTTCTTTTCACATTACTGAAATGGTATTCAAAGTGACCAGCTGGGATTCCTGCTTTATGAAAGTTGTGACAGTAAAGAAACAAACTTCTAGAGCAGCCCCCAAAGTTATCTAATATCAGAATGTGATCAAGGAAGTGCTTCAGATCCTGTCCAACTGACCTGCTGGTAACTCCTGCTAACCATAAACCCCAACTGATGGTTATACAGACATAACAGACACTGCAGTACACCTCACACAGTGATCACTTTTGACTGAGTTTCTTTAACTTGACTTCCAGATTTCCAATTAACTGAAATACATTTCTTTAAGGCATTAAATGACTCTGATGTTTCTCCTCAAATAAATCATCAAATAAAACAGTACACAAGTAAAAGTTATATGGTATCTTGATATTTTAAGAGCTTGACTTTGTGATGCACAAACTGTGAATTAAGCTTGCCACCAGTCCTGTTAATCTAGTGCTATTTAACATTAACTGAAGACTGTTAAAACAGAGCACATACAAAAGCAGATAGACAAAGCCTTAAGTAATTCTGAAAGGATTCAACACGCTCAGGTATCTCAGAAAAATGTTCCTATCACAACACAGTCTAGATGTACAGATGAACAACTGAAAAAGGTACGGACTAAGAACTTATTTTGAAAATTCTATATTTCAAGTACCTGCATGGTTTCAAACTATACACCTTCAAAGAGATGTATTACTTAGCTTCAGGATTTGAGGAGAACCAGTGAGCACAAGAGGAGCCATACACAACTGAGCACAGGTATCCTTTGTTCCCAGTCGTTTCCAGTTTGAATTGTTCTCACAGTGACACTGATAACAACAATGAACGTGATGTTTTTCTTTTTCCCCAGGATTAACACTCCCAGAAGAAGGTCTTTTAAATGAAGAACTCTGTTTTTCAGTAATAACTTGTAGTACTTAAGAAATTATAGAAATATAATTAGAAGCTAATAGATACTTCTAGTATTAAAAGAACTTCAATTCGACAGTCACAATAAACTTCCCCTAGGAAAGCTTTATGCCAAGATGCAGATCAGCCATCGTTCCTAGGCTCCTACCCAGCATTATCAAGCTGTTTCAAGGTTGCTCTGTGTTGTCAAACACTGAATGCAACTAAAACAAGGATTACTTCCTAATGCCAAGAACACTGAAGGTGCCCATTGTTTTCTCAAAGAAAATAACTATAATGCAAACTTCCAGAACAAAATATATTTCATGAAGTCACTTCTACATATGCAGAGCATAGCTGACAGGTTAAAATGCTGTGAACTTTGAGGCATACTTGCCTGCCTACAACTCTCACAACTGTTAATGAATTACTGAATTAATAGTGCCAGGAGTTTAGTTTAGAAAAGAAGGCCTGAAAAAGCATGCTAATAATTTTCTTAATAATTTAATAGGAGCGACAAGGAAAAAGTCATGAAGACAACCTTTTGTTTGCTTCTAACAACATAAATAACGGGAGGAGTTGTGCTCCTGCAGACGACTTTGCCCATTATCACAGCATCACCTCACTGCCACAAGCACAGCCTGCTGAACTTCTCCTGTGCTCTGATGTTACTTTTTGATAACGTGCAGAAGCCAGGATTCAGCGTCAACTCTTTGTTCACAAACCGACATGCTGATACACAGAAAGCCGGGATAAAGAGAAGTGCCAAGCCAAACAGAGGAAACCAAACAAGAAACCCTATAAGCAGCCGCTCCACCCATCCTGTGCAGGAAACAGCCCCGAAATCTACTTCACTAATCTAATCGCGTGAAAAACCGAAAGTATTTCCTACCGCGTCTCGACCTTGGTTACAGGCTATCAGAACGGGTCGAGACGTTACCCCACAGCTCCCGAACGCCGAGAAGCACCCGCAGCGGGAGCCCGTCCAAACTTCCCGTTCTGTGTCAGAACCCAGAAACGGGGCTTCCCCCGGCCTAGGGCCGGGCACAGCGCCCCGAGGGCACGGCCGCTTCCTCCGTCCGTCACCCCGCACGGCCCGGCCCGGCAGGCTGCTCCCCAGGACGAGGCGGAAGGAGGCAGTCGGACGGGAGGGAAGCGGCCCACAGCACCGCCAAGTCCCGAGGAAGCGGAGCGCCGGGGGAAGCGCGGCAGCTCGGGGAGAGGGAAAGGAGAACGGCGCAGCGAAGAAAGGAGGCGACGGCCGCCTCGGCCTCCCGGAGCGCGTGCCGGCAGCGGGGCTCGGGCACCGGGCCAGCCGCAGGGGGAGCGCCGAGACGGAAAGAGCAGAGCGGGCCCAGCCGAGGGGGGGCGGCCCGCCTCCCCGGGGAGAGGGCCCGGAGCCCCAGGAAAGGAAAGGGAGAAAGGCGGAGGCGGAAGGCCGCGTCCCGGCCGAGGCCCCGCGGTCCGAGCGGGCCAGGCCACCCCTCACCTCCGGCGCCGGCCGCCCAGGAGCACAGCAGGATTATCGTCCTCGCCAGATCCATCTTCGCCGGGCCCAGGCCCCGCCGCCGCCTACCCGCAACGCATCCGCCCCGGCCGGCGTCGGGATAGGGAGGGGCGAGCTCCTCGCCTCCCGCCGCTTTGTCCCCGCGCTCCGGGGGCCGCTCGGCTTCCGCCCGCGGATCTCTGGGACCGAGCGGCAGCCGCACCCGGCGCTTCCCCCGCGCCGCTTCTTTCCCCGCACCAGTCCAAGAGACGCCACCGGCGGGGCCGCCGCCGCCGCGCGCTCTGGGCGTGTCCCACTGCTCCGCGACACGAAGGGGGCGGAGCCAAGCAGGAGCGAGAGCGCCGCCCGCCTTAAAGACGCAGGGCGCCCCCCCGCGGGGAAGGAGGACCTCCGCTGCACGGCGCTGAAAGCCTCTCGGCGTTCGGCGCGGCGTCACTGAACGCGCGTGGCCCGCAGCGGAGCGGGGAGGTCGGGAGTGGCCTTAAAGGTTCCCCTACTCCATCTCCGTTCCGCTTCTCTCCTCAGAACAGCCCTTCCCACGACGCGGGATAAGTTTGTGATGAAACCAGATCTACGGAACTCGGTTTCTCGGTTCCCCAGGAAAGTTGCGTGTGGGAAGCCCCGCTGCGGCGAGCGGACCTCGGAGCGCGGGCGGAGCCAGTGTGAGAACAGCGAGAACGGGAGCACGGCGAGCCCTCCCCAAAGTGCGCTCACACTGTGCGAGCGACCAAAGGGCGTGGGCAGCTACAGGGCGGAGAAAATAACTCCGTTATTCTGTGTGACTGCGTTAGCTCTGAAATCGTCATCTTCACCACAGCCACCCTCACCATTGAAAGAGACGCTTAACAGCTGCAATAAAACAGCTCCCACACCCCCACAGAAAGCGAAACCCAGCAGTGCGGGACAGCGTCCGGCCGCGCCCTGCTCTACCTCAGCCCCGCCGGGCAGGGCGCCGCGCGCCGCCCATTTTGCGCAGGCGCGGGGCCGTGGCTGCACGGGCGAGGCGGGGCGGGGCGGGGCGGGACGGGACGAGACGAGGTGGCCTCCTGCGCCTCAGACACCCGGCGCGCCCCGCGCAGTGTTTCAGGACAGCCGCGGGCCCTGCCGCCCCGCCTCCTGCCGCCTCTTCCGGCCTCGTGCTGGGGCGGTGCGCCCTTCCCGTCCGCTTCCCCTCGGCCCCCTCGATTCCCTCCGCCGCCCTCCTCCCTGCCCGGCCCACGGCCGCCGCGGCCCCGCCCAAGGGGCGCCCCCGCCCCGGGCCCCGCCGTGACCCGCGGCCGCTCCCCGCTCCCGCCCACGCGTCCCCGGTGGGGCGGAGCCGCCGCCGCTGTCATGGCGTCTCGGGATCCGTCGGCGGAGATTCGGCCGCCGCTGTGCCAATAGAGCGCGGAGCAGCCGGGTGGCCGCGGGTCCGGGCATGGAGAGCCCGGCGCAGCCCCCGCCGCCTCCGGGCCCGCTAAAAAGCGGCGGCGGGGGCGCCACCGAGCGGCTCCTCCCGGGAGAGGCGGCGGCCGGCGACGGCTGCCGGGACGGGCCCGGTGAGGAGGGCGGTGGGCGACGCAGCCCATCCCCTCCGCCGGCCCCCGCGGGCCCTCGGGATGCGTCTCCCCTGCGGGGCGCCGAGAGCGCGGGGCCGACGCTCCCGGAGAGCCCTGAGGCGGCGGCGGGGGCCGGCTCCGGGAGCAGCGGGGCTGCCAGCCCCCCGGGGGAGGAGTCCCGCAGCCTGGACTCGCTGGAGTCGTTCTCCAACCTGCACTCCTGCTGCCCCAGCGGCTCCGAACTCAACAGCGACGCCGAGGAGGCGGTGGAGGCCGCCCCGGGGGGCCCGGCCCCGCGGCATGATGCGGAGAGGCCCGCCACGGGCGCGCAGCTCCTCGCCGCCTCCAAGGAGCGCTTCCCGGGGCAGTCGGTGTACCACATCAAGTGGGTGCGCTGGAAGGAGGAGAACACTCCCGTCATCACCCAGAACGAGAACGGCCCTTGCCCCTTGCTGGCCATCATGAACGTGCTGCTGCTGGCCTGGAAGGTACGGCGCCATCGCGGAGGGCCGGGGCACCTGCGGCCGTGTGCTGCGGGGAGGGGGCTGGCTGCGGGGAGAGCCGCTGCCCTGTGCGTCGGTAGCGCTGGAAACTGAAGTGATGCTTTGGGAAACTAGGTTAATATTAAAGGAAAATACATGCGAGTTTTTGCAAAACGTGGATTTGCACAAATAACTTGCTGAGTAAGAGGGATCCGTCTGTGGAGTTGTGTGGCAGGGTGGTGATGAGTGAATCGAGCGGTGCTTTGGGGCCTGGGAGTTCCTATGGTCTGGTAGTCGTTGTGCATATGACTTCCTGGGATCTTAGAGTAAATCCTGTGCAAATTCTAAATCTTTAAAATAGAGAACTCGACTATGAGGTATGTTATAGCTGTTGATGTTTATGTAAAAGAAGTACCATCAGATGTGTGCCTTATAAGACAAGGAAGTGGGGTCTCAAGAATTGTTGCTAATGCAACCCTGAAGAATTGGTGAGGTGATGAGACCTCAGAATAGGGAAACTTCGTGGGAGTATTTTGTTCTTGTAGAATCAAAGGAAAGGAAATGAGGTGTCGTAGTGGTTGGAGGCTTTTCACAGATATAGCAGGTAATATAGTATTTTCATTTTGACCTTTGTCCAATAAGAAAGTATTTTTTCACAGAGATAGTCTTTCAGAAGGTTAATGTTAGTTTGGGCTTTTTGTCTCTGTACGTTTTCCTGAGCAGAACAGCTTGTGGGTCAGGAGGAATGCTGTGGGTACGTGATGTAGCTATTAAGACCTTTCTGAGAGCAGTACAGGGGAGCTGTGGATGGCACAAAACTGTTGTCTTTTGCAAGTTTTGCCTACCTCAGGAGGATGGATAGATCTTTGTAGACTTCAGTATTTAATATTTTCTTTGTACGTTTCCTCTTTAATGTACAGAGGTGAGTGCAGGGCCTTGAAGAACTGGTTCAGCATCATTCTTTGTGGTGGTGGTGTTTTAGATGTGTTTGGTCCCAGAATTTACCTTTTTAAGTGTTCATTTAATGAAAGGACATAAATGGGACATCACCGTCCTTGTTGTTTGCTCTTAATTTTTAAGAGGTTTTGTTCCCTAGTGTTCTTCCTTTCTTTCCATAAATATATAGTTACTTTCTTCTATTGCCTTCCATTCCAGAACTTTATCTGATGTTCTGCTTTGATCAAATGCTATGTTAGCAAGAATGAATGTGCCATCAAAATTTGTAAGCGAAATGAAAAAGCCTCTTTGGAGTGCTCTTACATTTCTTGTTGCTGGGATTATAGAAGGGGTTTTCTATAATTCTGTTTATGTAAAACCTCAGCAGAATTTATATGACTTCTGAACAGCCAGGAAGTCACCATTGTAGGTGGAGCTGCCACTATATGACCATTTATGTGCTTTGGGATTTTCTGATTAGTTGGTTGTATATCACCCCCACTTATAATTGGTTCCCTTATTTAGGGCCTCTCCAAATTGTCCTTTCTTTTCCCTGGTTTACAGTCAGGAACCACGCTGACATGGTTTGTGGAGGCAAGCTTTTTGACAGCTCACCTGTGCATCACTGTCAGTTGCCAGTTATACACCAAGGCTGACAATGGGCTTCCACATTGTTCTCGCTTCTGCTGAAACAAAATGGACACTAGATCGGGTCATGTAATCGTAAATTGGGAATGAGGGAGCAAACCAGGAGATAGAAATAGGCAAAGGCAGAGTAGGGTTACCAGAGCATGTGGCAGGTGAGAGGAGCCACTTGGCTGTGGGAAAAGATTGTAGTGAAAAGGAGGAGGGGAAATCAAGCTAGAATAGAGAATAGCAAGGTAGAGAGTTTCATCTTGGTGCTTCTTCCCTGTGTTTGCCACTAGCCTTCCTAATTCAACAGCTCCATCAGAATGGAGTTCTAGTATTTTCCTACAGGATGACTAAAAGTCTCATATAGCTTCAGATGATATGAGCGAGTGCTCAGAGCTGAAAAATATTATGATTACAGTACTAGTGCTTAGGTTTTTATGAATACTTCCAATAGAATGTCCAATCACGTGCTTTACTTATCCCACAATGGGAGCGATAACTTTGAGATCCATCACTGTGTGTACTAGTTGTGCTTGTGCAGTAGTGAAATTTGAATTCACATTGCTTGTGTTGAGCTGCATGTGCTCAATTTGTTTAGGACTGAAATTGGTATTTGTTTCTTAGTAGTCTTAGCCATCATCGTGGAAACATTTGTGCCTTAAAAATGTGAAATGCTTGCATATATTGGAACTCACTTTTTCATATGTTTCGGCTCAACAAAATTCAAGTTCTTACCTCTGCATGCTAACAGCTTTGTGATCTGCTGTTTGTGTGTTCCATTTGCCCTCTGGAAGAGTTTTTTTGTCTGTCTCTCTTACTGAGGGCTATAGGTAGTTTATTACTTTGCTTATCTCAATAACTGGATGTAGGAAGATCTCTTCTACTTGAAGTAAGTGTGTTGCACTTCAAAGTAAATATTCCTAGTGAATTTGAAGATCTTGATCATTAAGTGAACAAAATTCTTAGCAACTACTCAACTGTAAAGTATCTTTGGGAGGTATTTTTGAAATTAGATTTAACATCCTCATTTCGTGATGTAAGTTTAAAGACCGCTTCAAAATAATTGTTTCTTTGAGTGTACAGCACCTGTATATTTTTACCTGTGAGATTTGACAGCGAGTTTTTGGAAATTCCGAAGTAGTAGCATATTGGGATTCCTCAGTAACCTTTTAATAGAACCAGATTTTTGAAACTAAACTTGTAAAATTGCTACCTGTCATATCCACTGCTTCCAAGGGAGTCTGGACATACAGCTCTGTGGTGTCTGATTGTGCAAGCTGTACTTCCAAATGTTAAAATTATAGAATCTTTTTTTTTCTCTCTGCAGACTGCTTATGGAGCCCTTAGGAGATAGAGCTGAAGGGTTATTAATGAAATGTTACAGAAAGGCTCTGAATCAAAAGTAACCAAAAGCAATATGATAGAAAGTTGGATAAGCAGCTGTTGTGCAAAGTAGTGTGGTAATAATACAGGCTTCTGCAATAGAAATGAAAATGGGAGTAGAATATTGAAATAAAAAGGGTTTTCTGCTCTATACGAGCAGCTTTGAGCACCATCTTTCAGCTCACTTCAGTCTGCAGGCTTGCAGTTTTTCTTCACGGCTCCAACTATGTGCTTCTACTTTGCAGTGCAGAGCTTGCTTTTATGGCATTTGTTAGGTGTAGCCCGCTCGTTGCTTTCTGGTACCTTCTGAAATTGCATTA